CGGCTATGATTAACTTTGCAGTTTGTCAATTTTTGTGATCAATCAATTTTTTTGGCCTTTAGCCGGCCAACTGGTAAGTGACCAATGACCAAACTTTGGTCATTTACATAATGTTAGCCTATCATATTACTATATAGTTTGCTATACAAATATTTGGTCATTTCGGCCAGATATTTTTTTTTAAAAAAAATCTTAATACATGCGTGCGCACGTACTAGTTACGACGCACACAATATCTGATATCGATCTTCCTGATAGTGTCATTGAGATTTGCTACAGGTGACCCTAATTAATATCAACTTCGTTGGTATCAACCTCTCGTTAATATCAACCTAAAAACTCGTAGAAAAGTGCGTCCAGACATTATATATTTTCCTCTTTATTATATATATATCAACATAATTGTCTAATCCAAATGGGTTGAACATCATTTTAAGACATTATCAAAAAGTCAATACAGGCATTTTATATTAAAATTTTAAAACTTGTCGATATAGAAGGTTTTGCTGTGATGTGGATATCGGTATAACCAGATTATAATAGGTATTCTATTTCGTCGAAGAATCCAACACTTATATTTATTAGTCGAAATTAATGGGCCAATCTATCACTACTTTTTAATACGCCATATAACTGACCGATCGCTAGTGTTAATGGGTTGGGTTGACTCAATCTTCAACCCACACCATTAAATTAGGGTTCTATAGTTATTTTGGGTTGGCCAATGACCTAACTTATAAGAATCATAGTTTGTTTAATATGGCTAAGACTTGTGTGTCTCAACTAATAAAATCAAATCTTGATTTAGTGTAGATTTTTAGGTAACACCAATAAATATCGATATTGTATTTTTTTTTAAGTTTAGTCTTTATACGTACTGTATACACAGTATATTATCCATATAAAATTTAATATTGATTAGAGTAGTTCGGTAGTTAAAAAAATTTGATGATAATTTTAATATATTAGACTTGCTGTTTTTAAAGTCTAATTACTTGGTGAATATTGTGAATTTTTTTAGCTTTTTTAAAATATAAACATTATATAAAGAATTAAACATATATTCATAAAAAAAAAAAAGTGCTTTATTTTTCTAATTACTAATCAATGAAGGGACTTTGATTTTATGAGGCGCAATCCTAAATTATGACATTATCATAAGAATTTTATCGTTATGACTTAGGCCATCGACCAACACTGACGCATTATCTACACAAAAAGAATATCACGTGACATGGTTTGACAAAGAAAGTTACACGATTTGATTTGATTTTTGGATTTTAACTAATTAATATAAATACCCAATTTTTACTAAGCAAATAATCGTTCGTTAGCTTTTCACAAACATAATATTATAATAAAGCATGAATTTTACTAAGCACAATCAAGCTGTTTTAGATTTAGACTCATCCGACCCTGCTGTTCGTGTAAAAGCTTTACGTTTTATAAAAAATAATATCATTGGAAATAAAACAAAAAAAGATCTATACATCGGACTTAACGTTATTCCAAAGTACGCCTTATTATCTACTGGAATTATTTTTGTGAAATATTTATAATACTTATTTGTACCTGCGATGCCTTTTGTTATGCTCAGACTTGTCACTTTTTTCATAGAAACTGAAGGTGTTGATCCTGAGGTTCAAATCCAGGCTGCGATCGTCTTGGGTAGCTTTGCTTATGGTTCGGATTGCTTTTTTTTTTTATTAAATTCTTAAAATATTTTTGAATGGAAGTAAAAAAATGATGTGCGAAATTAAAGGATCCTTTACTTTGTTAAAAGGTGGTGAAGAAAATGTTACCGAGATAGTAAAGCATGAAGCTGTCAAACCTTTATTAGAATGTATATCGTTAAAAAATGATCCCAGATTGATCGAAGCAGCTGCTCGTGCTCTAAAAGCTATTTATAAATGTCCAACTGCAAATAAGAATGACATATTTCAAGTAAGACTATTGAGAACTAATTTATTATTGATTTTTTATTATTAATTTTTTTTTCTTTTTTTTAGTTTATATTATTAATTAATAATTTATTTTATAGGGTTATCATCTTCAAGACCTTATTACTCTTCTTGATCCTGATGCACTTAAACCGAAGACAGATCGCGAAAAAATCGCGTCGGTACATACTGCTGAATTGGCTGCGACTATAATTGCACGTTGTTGTGATACCAACGAACAGCAGATCCAGATTGCACAAGCGGGTGCCTTTCCTAAATTGGTCAATTTGTTAACTTGCGGTTTTTCTAAAGCCCAAGAAGCCGCTTTGGATGCGCTGGCGTACCTTTGTCGTGAAAACTCTGATTTTGGCAAGGAAATCGTTAAAACAAAATGTATGCAAGAATAATTTTGATATTTAATGCGTTATTCAAAAATTATAACTTTTTTTTTTTTTTTATTTATATAGCTGAAACAAATGAGGATCCGGTCAAAATCATGTTAAATTTGATCCGCGATAAATCACCGACAATGCGACTAATATCAGCCAAATGGTACCAAATAATTTCAATGTTTTACATTCATTATATTATAAAATTTTACATAATTTAAAATTCAGTGGTTATAATTTCATTTTGAAGCTTGACGCATCTATGTCGTGCGAAAGCGATTGACGAATATTTAAATGATATTACATTGGCCGTATTGCCAACATTAGTTAAATTACTTGACGAAAAAGGTCCTGTCCGTGAAGAAGCTCCACATGTTTTAGGTATTTCGTTTTCTAGATAGATAGATATATATATATATATATATATATATACGCAACATTTCATCTCTCATGATATTCATTTTTTGAATTCTTATTCATTTAGCATATTTGATTCGTGATAATGAGGAATTACAAAAGGCTGCTTGTGATTCTGAAGCAGTATCGAAATTGGCTGAATTTGTTACTCATATTAGTGATCAGAATAGTTCATATTATGATCCACTGGGTGACGGTGATAAATTGAAGGAGGTATATATTATTTTTAAATTAGTTGATTATTTTATGTATTAAATTAATTTAAATTTACCATTAATAATTAGAATGCCCTAATGGCTCTTGCAGCTATAAGTTCTTTAACTGACGAAGGTCGAAAGTTGGTAAGACATTGTTTGATGCTGATTGTGATCAAAATTATTCTAAGTATCAGTTTGATTATAATTTTTATTATTATTATTATTATAAAGGTTGTTGATGCCAAAATAATCCCTCATATTGTTGCAGCAATGTCTCATCGTTCTTATGGAGTTCGTGCTGCTGCATGTCAATGTACCCGAAGTCTTTCAAGATCTGTCCATATATTACGCACAAACCTTGTAGATGCAGGAATCGCAACGCCTTTATTTAAAGTAAAATTTATTGCAATACTACAATCAATTATGAACTTATTTTATAAAATTGATAAATGACAGTTATTTGTAAAATATATAGCTATTATCTGACGAGTCAACAGATGTACAAACCATGGCGTGTGCTACACTTTGTAATATAGTACTGGAATTTTCACCAATGAGAAAGGTATTTAACAAACATGTCTTTAATCGTTTTTACACATGACTTATTTTATTAAATACATTTATTTTTTCAATATATTAGCAAATTATGGAACAAGGAGGAATAGAAAAGTTAGTTAAATTAGTACATTCTCCTGATAATACACTAAGGCTTAATGCTATATGGGCATTGAAGAATTTAGTTTATCATGCAGAGTCTGAGGTCAAATATAGAGTGATGGAAGTGTTGACATATCAAACTATGGAAAAGTAAGTAGAATTACAGATAAATTGTAATAAAAATTTAATTCAACTGATATATATATATCACAGATTGATTGAAGATCCTGAACTTGACGTGCAGGAAAAAGCCCTGAACTTGTTGAGAAATCTAGCTTGCCCAAAGCCAGAAGTATGAATTTCTTAAATTTTCAATTAATGTATACTTAATTATAAATAATAATGAGTTGATGTTTTACTTAGGATATTGAAGAAGTATTTAAAGGATTAACCGAAAGTCGATTGATGAATATCATAGAAAGTAAACTTTGTTGTTCTTGGAGTGATGAAATAATTAAACAGGTAATTTAATTATTCAAATTTGAATTAAAAATTACATTACACATTAAAATATTTTCTTCTTTTTTAAAAGATCCTGTTTGTAATCAACAACATTGCAACTGGTAATGAATACCATAAAAAAACTATTATGTCAAGGACTAATATTTTGACGCACATTAAGAACTATATGAGTCATCAAAATCCTGATATTCGCGTTGCTGCAGTGTGGTGTCTTATAAATTTGACATGGATGGAGGATAAGCATAGTAGTAAGACATTCTTTTTTTTTTTTTATTATTATTAAGTGACGCGATGTTTCTGTCTTATTGATTGACTATCTATGGAATAGGTTCTCAATTGCGCGTTCGAGAATTACGTCAGTTCGGTTTTGAGGATATAGTGAAAAATATGGCAAACGATGAAAATTTAGATGTTCGTGAAAAAGTGAAGATGGCTTTAGTACAATTTTCTCAAGTATGATTGACAAGAATTTTTGTAAATCACTTAATTCACATTTATTTTTCATGTGTGTATTGTTCGAGACTTGCGGGCAAGACAACTAGTCGCAGTCATATATATAAGAAAAAAAGTTCTGTGCGAGACGATTGATATTGAGATTCATCCATCATCCGGTATTCACGTAATGTATATTTACTATTTTAACATTATATTATGCATTATTTGCATTCTTGCTTATTTCGATAATACCTAAACACTGAGATTACTTGGATTTTGATCACTATTCTACAGTATATAGTAACTTCTGACGTATTTTTCTCGAGGCAAAATTTCAAAACTTTTAATATAGATAATAAAAATAATTGTTTATTATTAAATATTTAGTGATTATCGTTGTTGCACGGTGATAAACCTTCAGAAAAGTGTATTATAATAATGATAAAAATAAAGTCATGTGGATTTCTAATGACCAAAGATAAAAACGAAAAAATAATTTTATTTGTCTCGTGGCGGATTCGAACCGCCGACCGTCTGTGTGTTAGACAGACGTGATAACCAACTACACCAACGAGACAACTTTCTGTAAATGTTTTTTTTCTTTTGAATTTCCTTTAAATGATTCTAAACAGGTTTAAGATTATTCATTTTAAAAATAAAAAATAAATACAAAAAATCATCGACTCAATTCTAAATGATCAAATGTCTAACAAACATAATAACAATCTTACTATTTTTTAATATTTAATATATAGTACATATACACGATGTTACTTTTTTATATGATTATCGTCAAACATTATAATTGTAATTAAAAGTAATAAATTTTTGAATCATTATTAATGGTAACAATAATAAATTATTAATTTCCACTAATCGTTAGAAACTCGAATGTCGTATGATCAAAAAAAGCATAATAATTGATTTAAAGCAAAATTGTAATCCATATTAATCCATCACCTCAAACAACGCACTAACACTTTCACCGTTGTGTGTTCTCCTAATAGCTTCAGCAAACAAAGGAGCGACATTGAACACACACACTTTAGAACATTGGGCCAAATGTTCATTTTGTGGAACACTGTCGCTCACAAAAATTTGATCAATGTTGCTTTCTTGAATTCGTTGAATCGCATCGCCGCTCAAGATTGCATGTGTAATAATAGCATAAATTTTTTGAGCGCCATTCTCATGAAGAATTTTGGCAGCCTTAGTAATTGTAAAAGAAGTATCTGCAATGTCATCTATAAGAATGCAGATTTTATCTTTAACATCACCAACAAGGATCAAATCAGTTTTATGAGGCTTATTTTGAGATCGGCGCTCTTTATGAATAAGAGCAAACTCCATTCGAAGTCTCTCTGCAATTGCTGTAGCTCTAAATAATAAAACATAAATTATTTGGATAGTAATTCATATAATATTCGTAGTATTAAATACTTTTAAAAGTTACCAAAAAGTATCATAAAGCACTTTCAAAATTTTGACAATTTTCTGTAACTTTCACAACTCTGCTTACCTTTTGGCACCACCAGCATCTGGAGAAACAATTACAGCATCTTCCCAATTTGGAATGGTTTGTTTTATACATTTGATCATCAAAGGCTGTCCGAAAAGATTATCAACGGGGATGTCAAAAAAGCCTTGAAATTGAGGATCATGAAGATCCATTGTCATTATATGGTCAGCACCTAAAAAGTGTCATTTAATAGTCAACGTTAAGAAAATATATTGCTTGCGATAATTCACGGAAATGATATATAATAACCTGCACACATTAAAAGATTGGCAATTAGTGTCCCTGAACGAGCAATCCATTGTTTATAACCCCCAACGCTACGAATTACGGCGTAATTTGAACTTGCATCTTCCATCTTATCTAAAGGATCCTTTATTTCCAAGTTAGGTGTTACTGATGCAGAACCATAAGGTGTATCAGAGGAATAACCCCTAAACGCACTTCTAGGAAGTCGTGATAAAGGTGTACCGTCTTTTTTAAAAGGTGCGTCAGGTTGTCTTGCATATGGAAAACAAGGTATCACAGCAGTAACCTTTGCGGCTGAAGCAATTTTACACGCTGAAATCATGATCAGAAGTTCCATGAAATTGTCATTGACGTGTCCACAACCAGATTGAATAATGTAAACATCTTGTTCTCTAACACTTTCACGGATTTCTACGTTGGTCTCTTTATTAGAAAATTTTGAAAGAGTTACACGCCCAAGCGGCAACCCCAAACGTGAAGCAATTTTTTCTGCTAAGTCTGGGTGTGAAGAACCTCCAAAAAGAACAATGTTGTGCATCGAGAGAGAGTTGGTACGTTAAATGTAAATATAAAGGTTCAAAGATATGTCATTCCAACTTTTTAAAGATCGTTACACAACTATATTCAAAATTAAGTTTCTTAATCTAGTATGGTGAATGAATTTACGGAATTGCTCTCAAGCATTTAAATTAATAGATCGGTGCTCAATTTTTAATTAATATAATTAGGACGATCAAGTCAGCTATCAAGTCCATCTTTTTTTTATCATAGCATTTCGCACTATGAACCTTCAGCAAAATTGCCGTTAAGAAATGTGGCAGATTAAAATGAAAGAGCGTCCTTATCCTAGACCCCTGGTTTAGGATAGTTATCATGGACCCCCGGGGTTTAGGCAGCTTAAACTACCGAGTAAGTTTTGCGAAGCCAGTTTCATAATAAAGATTTCAATCGATTTTAAAAAAATTAAAAGAAGTTTTTTTTATCTTTATTAATTTTATTTATTGTCCGGAGCGTAGCGGAGGATGCTTAATTTCTAGGTAAAGTGATACAAAAGTTACCTTTTGATGCTTCAAAAGTATTGTTCCTGTTGCATTTGTAATAAAAATATCAAAAACGTAACTTCGAAATTTCTGTCTGTCTCGCCAAAATTATAAATCTAATTACAGGATCCTGTAATCAGAATAGATTTGTTTTTTTTTTGGTATTAAGATAAGTCCCTGCTTTTATCTTTATTAATAATTTAACCAGCTACTCCTGTGGAGTTAGCTGTACTTTATACAAATTACTTTGAATAAAATTAAGTAAACTATATACAAGAATTGAAGCTCAAACTATTTTATCTTGATCTAAACCTAATAGAGTAGTCAAGACTCACCTAGATTTGTATAGTTAAAATATAGTTAGTAGAAGTACTAAATTTGGCTTTAAAGGTAAACCAAATGTCTATTTTTCTAATTGCTTGTTCGATAGGTGGATATATATTAGGCCACACACATACATAAAATTGGTTCTTATAACCCAGCTGGGTGAATTTTTTTAAAAAAGTCAGATGTTATTTTTATATAGTTTTTAAGATTACTATATATATTTTTATATAAAGAGGTTTTAGTATTTAAAAAATTTATATAACATTTTTTAGATTATAACAATAATATTTGGGTACCGGATGCCCTTGGTTGGGTCTTAAAATGTTACAAGAACCAATTAATTTTATTTGCATGGTCTTAGAGAAAGTATATAACTCATCTGGTTGGCTACAAATATAGCTATAAGTATAATTTTTGTGTTTGTATGATTTAGAGTAATGGTTATTAGTTTGTCTATTGTTATAAGAGTTGTGAGTAGGTATATTTTAGTTTTTTCTTCAAGTAGAAAAATTGTAATAGTAAGGAATTTAGATTTGATCATAGATTTGTTTATTAATATCTAGCAAAATTTGAATAATAGTAGTAGATACAATTTATAAAAGATACTAAAGCTTTGAATAGATTGAATTATAGATATTGGTATAAGTTCTTTGAATGTTGTTTCTAAATAATATAGATCAGATAAAGGTTGAAAAATGCTAAAGGTTTGATGGTTAAAAAGTCTGTATTCCAATTCTTGTAGCTTAAGATTTGATAGTTCGAGTTTGAACTTTTGTAGTATATTATAGATAGTGTTTTGAATAGTATTGTGTATTAAAAAAAAATTGTTGCAAGTAAGCTAGTAAAAGTAGAAATCAAATTGATTAAACTGAAAGCAGTTAGGATTAGTGTAAAGATATAGAAAGATTTTGTAATAGTGGAAGTATAAAGATAGTTCATTAAGAAGCATTTTATATTTAAAAGCTTTTAGATAGTTAAGTTTGAAATTAGTAATATTGTGTGTAGGTTTTTGGTTATGATTAAAGTATTTCTATGTAAAATTCTAGTCAATTAAATGAGTAAAGCCTGACTATTTATTATTGTGTTTTTGTGTGAACTAGTGCTCCTATGTTCGGTTCGGGTTCGGTCCGGTTCGGATCTGATCCGGGATCGAACCGAACTCGAACTCTAAATTTTGCTAGTTTCAAACTTCGAACCAGACTCAAACTCAGTTAAGAGTTCAGTTCGGTTCGGTCTGAAGTTTGTCAAACTAGTTTGAAGTTCGAATATTTATACTAGTATTCGGATTAGTGTTACGAATCGGGCAAAAAATCATAATCGATTAGTTAGGCCGTGCAAACAAATATAATTGTTTCTCGTAACCCGGCCGGGTGCCTTTTTTGAAAAAATTAAAATTTTATTTTATATATATATTATATATATAAAATTTTTAAGGAAATTTTAATTTGGTGCACCATGCACCGTGATGCACCCCTAATCACGGGGTATAAATAGTGATTATCAACCGATTGAATCAGTTGAATTTTTTTTTAATTTTTTTGTTTCAACGCGTTTAGTTATTAATATATATTTTTTTTTTGACACTTCACTTGAGTTGGTGTCGTCGTCGTTACCGGAGCCGTCGTTTGGAATTGGTGCCATAGTTTCGTTTCGTTATTGGTGTCTTGGCGAATTGTGTGTCGCCATTGTTGTTGGCTGTTGGTGGGAATTTGTGTCTTTATCGAGTACGTCGTTTAGGTGTCGTTTCTTGTATGTTGGCAATGACAGCCTTACTCCTAGTTTTGTTGCTGGCGCGTCATTTCACGACAATGTTGGCTAATGACAAGGTAGGAGGTTAGAGTATTGTTCTTGATTTCTTGTTCATGAATACATACTGACAGTTCTTTTTTTTTTCTAGGACGTTCATGAAAATTGTGGGCAATTGTCTTGGTATTTGGGGCGTATGCTTTAATTTTTTTGTCTTGCTTTTTCGATTCGTGAATGTGTTACTAACACTTGTTTCTTTTTTTTAAGGATTGCTAGGCTTCTTGGAACCTGTTAGGCGTTTGTTTGAAAATTCTGGAGAGTATGATTTTGTAGATACGTTGTTCTTGTTTTTTTTCTTGCTTCTGAACGCGTTACTAACGCTTTTTTTTTTTTTTTTTTTTCTAGGTCCTTTAGGGTGTTTTTGAACTTTCTTGGGATGCATGTCTTGCAAGTCCGGGACGTATGGTTTTATTTTTTTCGTTGTTGCTTTTGTCTTGTGAATGCATTACTAACGCTTTTCATTTTTTTGTTAGGTCGGTCTTGAGAACTGTTTTGTGGCCACCATTCTTCGCCGTTCTTTGGATATGCTAGGTTCGTATGTTTTCCTCTTTTGTTTTTATTTTGATTGTTTTGCTTTTACTAACACCTTTTTGATGCCATTACATAATGCTCTTGTCGTTGGCATCATCGTTCTTGGAG